AGCTACTTAACAGTCACCTAACGAATAGTAAACGTAACGTTGGCGGGCAACTGAAAAGGTATAAGGATATTGACCCCCTCACCTGGGAGCAGAGCATGCAGTTCCGTACGGTATAATTGATTTATCGCAATTCGTACAGTATTTTCGTACCTGATTTTGTACCCCCCTCCCATACAAAATTTAGCCCAACTTAAGGTGTAACAAAACAAGAATAATTATATTATTAACTTTAGTATTTTATTCTTAACATAATAATATTTAATATTCTAACATATTAATGCTAAATTACACATTTTACTAAATGAGAATAATATTAATAATAATGATCATGATAATTATCATACTTATTCAATATCATTATTATTATTTTTATTGATGTTTATGATATTATTACACTGATAAGAATATATAAATAAAGAAAAACTTTCGTTGCCTTACCTTTAAAACCAGAAGCCTTGAACACTGCAGGAGTCAGCCTGAATGACGGTGCATCGTACGACGTCAGACTCGGGAATGAGAATGTGTCATTATGTGTGTGTGTGTGTGTGTGTGTGTGTGTGTGTGTGTGTGTGTTTATAATAATAATAATAATAATAATAATAATAATAATAATAATAATAATAATGAAAATAATAATAATAATAATAATAATAATAATAATAATAATAATAATAATAATAATAATAATAATAATAATAATAATAATAATAATAATAATAATAATAATAATAATAATAATAATAAACAGTTTATTAATAGAGTTGCAGCCGGTTGCTGAAAATATACACACTTACATGTGATTTAGACATAATAATATACGTTCAATGCGATTACAGGGCAGTACAGTACATAAATCAGGAGCTAATTATTATTTTAACAATAGATGGGATGGTGCTATTCTTATATCTATCAGTGCAGGCTCTCATGGGCTGAATTTTGTTGTAGTGGCGGACTGCGTGAGGTGGGCGGGGTACTGCAGGTGGTATTCAGTGGAGATGACGAGGATGGTGCAGTAGTCCACTACCAAACCTTGCTAGTGAGTGGTGGTGGAGGTCACTGGTGGATAGCATTTCCAGGGTGGAGTGAGTGTTGGTGAAGTCGGAGTCGTCTGCGCCGAGCATGATTCTGCAGGCCCTCTTCTGTACCTTCTCTAGCTGACGTTGTTGGGTAGAGTCGAGAGAAGATGACCAGGCTGGTGACGCATACGTTAATTTTGGGTGCCCCAAGTGACCTGAGTAATTGTAGCATGTAGATTCGGTACGAGGCTGCCTTGATAGTTTTGTTTACTTGGGCCTTCCAGTCCAGTTTGTGGTCTATAGTTACACCCAGGAGTTTGGCAGACTGCACTAACAGGAGAGGATGGGCACCTACTGTAACTGCTGGAGCTTGCACTGGAGTGGTGGCGGTGTTGATGTGCATGACTACGGTTTTGTTGGGGTTGATGGTGACCTTGTTCCTCGTAGTCCATACCTGTAGCCTGTCGGTGCCTTGTAGCGATGAGTAGTCTGGTGAGGTGTTGTCCACTGTAACCCCCACAGTCCAGTCATCCACGTACTTCCACCTGTGAGGAGTGTCCAATGGAGCGTCGTTGAGCAGGATTAGGAAGCACAGTGGTCCCCTGGGGAACACACCAGGTGAGGTGTTGAAATGTGGAGACAGAACCCTGGTACCTCACTGCCTGACGACACTCACTCAGGAAATCAGTGAGCCATGAGACCAGGATGGTGGCAGCCCTAGTGCAATGGCCTTGTTGATAACAGTGCAGTGATCAACAAGGTCAAAAGCCTTTCTGAAGTCAACAAGGGCAACGGCCAGTGATGTCTTACGTTTCTCCAGGTTTTTGTGCAGAAAATCCAGGAAACTAACTAAGCAGTGTGATGTAGAGGAGGTCCTGATATTGCAAAATTACTGTGGATCAATTGACTGATACATAATAACAAATGCCCATTTAAAAACAAAGTCTTCACAGAGTAGACTGGGTATGGTGGTGATGGCAACTGGCCTGAGGTCACTAGGGGACTGTGGGGTGGGGACCTTGGGGATAGGGGTGACATAAGAACATAAGAACATATGAATGGAGAAAACTGCTGCGGGCCTATTGGCCCATACTGGGCAGTCCCATTTACACCCAACCCCTATTGCTCATATATCCATCCAACCTAAGTTTGAAGCTATCCAGAGTATTCGAGTTAATGATGATATTTGGTAACTTATTCCAGTCGTCCACTAGTCTATTTTCAAACCAATGTTTACCTATTTCGCGCCTAAATCTAAATTTTTCTAATTTAAAACCATTGTTACGAGTTCACTCCTGGTTGGAAAGTTTGAGTACCTTTGTAATGTCCCCTTTGTTTAGCCCTGACTTCCATTTATACACCTCGAACATGTCGCCCCTCACTCTACGTCTCTCGAGGGAGTACAAATTAAGATACTTTAACCTGTCTCTGTACTCAAGGTTCCTAATGCCCGGCATTAGTCTTGTCATTCTCCTCTGAATTATTTCCAAGGATTCTATATCCATTCTGTAATATGGTTACCAAAATTGAACTGCGTAATCCAAGTGAGGTCTCACAAGCGCAAGATATAGTTCTAAGATGACCTCGCTAGTCTTGTAACTAACACTCCTTTGTATTAACCCAAGTACTTTATTAGCTTTGTTTCGAGCAAATACACATTGTTTAATTGGCTTAAGATTCCTACTTATCATTACTCCTAAATTTCTCTCGCAGTCGGATTTTTCAATAACATCGTTGTTCATCTGGTATCTGGTTTCCCTGTTTACATCTCCTATACTGAGTACTTTACACTTGTCCACATTGAATTTCATCTACCATTTTTCAGACCATTCAAAAAATTTGTTTAGGTCTTCCTGTAGTTTTGCGGAGTCCTTCAGATTTAATTACACGTCCTATTTTAGTGTCATCCGCAAATTTACTTATGTTGCTGTCTACGCCGATATCTATGTCGTTTATGTATATTATAAATAATAATGATCCAAGTACTGAGCCTTGCAGAACTCCACTAGTGATGTTGCACAAATGGGATTTAGTGCCGTTAATGCTCACTCGCTGTTTTCTGTTCTGTAACCACGCCCTAATCCATTTTAGAATATCACCTTTAATGCCATGAGCCTCCACTTTTCTTATTAGTCTTTCGTGGGGGTCTCTGTCGAAGGCTTTGCTAAAGTCAAGATATACTACATCATAATTGTGCCCCTCATCCACTGATTCGAGAACTGATGAACTTGTGAAGCCATGCTGGAAATCATTGATCAACTTGTGCTTCTCCAAGTGATTTCGAATAGAGTTTGAAATGATTTCTTCAAGTAATTTGCCTACAATTGATGTTAGACTGATTGGATGGTAGTTAGAGGATAGTGATCTATCTCCCTTCTTGAAAATCGGTATTACATTAGCTATTGTCCAGGATTCTGGTGCTATACCTACTTTTAAGGACATGTTAAACAGCTTTGCTAAGGGCATACTAAGCTCTTCCTTACATTCCTTTAATACTCTGGCAAATATCTCATCGGGACCCGGTGACTTATTAGGCTTTAGTTTGTCTATTTGCTTATGTAATAGCCCCTGTCTCATCAACAGAATTATTATATAAATGGGTTAATTACATTTGATTTATATACTGATTCATCCCCTGTAACTTTCCACTGGCTATGAGTTGTCATGCTCTTATGACGTGATTGGCAGCCTCCTTGGGGTGCGGCCACTGACTGCATGGGTCAGCACATGGGTCAACTCGGATAAGCCGGCACCCACGGGGCAGTCCCACTCATAATCTCACATTGGAAGGACGTGATTAAACGGTCTATTTACATAGCCCCAGTCCTTCTCTTCACACTCATAAATAGTGAAAGTTACGGTTGATATACACTCAGGAATTGTATAAGCGATAGTTCTTCAATTAAGGAAGAAACAGACAATTAGACTTCGCTACTCTAACCCAATATAATATATGTGTATCAGCCTGGTTAACTTCGACAAAACCTATAGTTAATCGGCTATAACATAGGTGGCAGCGGTGGGGTTACGGAAACGACATTCGGGTCTACATACCAAGGCATCAGTGTTTTCCCTAAACAAGCAAACAATAAGCAGTGACTTGTTACATGAAATATCCGAGTGTATTGATATATCCCATAGTGAGACGATTATAGTTGAGTGGTTCTCATTCTGTCTCCCATAGTGGTGTACAGAATTATTTACAATAACCCATTCTGAGTTATTGTTGACTTACTACCATAGGCCTAGTTAGAAATACCCCTGTCTCAAGACAAGTGGTGGAGGTTAGGAAGGAGTATCATCAGCATTGCCATCCTGTGCAAGCATACCCAAAAAATTTCAGGGTTTGCTAACATGGGACCTTTCACAAGTGTCTGGACGACTGTTGTGGCTTCGTGATCGTTGATTGCAGTACTTCCCGTGCCCCAGAGAGTCCTTTATAAGCAGGGCTTCTGACGGTTTGGGCACACAGCAGGCGACATCATAGCAGCGAGAGGAGACCTGATTCTTCGTCGTCAGCGGTTTGGAAACCTGTGGAAGGTACTCCCCTGTCGTGAAGTGGATTCACCCCGCGTTCCTCATTGCAGGGTGTCTGGTGGTTGCTAGGCGACGACACTCAAGAGGAGTGCACGCCGACTGACCTTGGGCGGGCGGCAAGACCCACCCACTCACCACACCCTACGTCCGCCTACATCTGTGGATCGCGATTTCTATGCAGACCTCCAACTCCTGCATTAGGTATTCAAAGGTTCACATAATTTATACACACATTTACATAGTCAGCGGCATGTCTTCACACTAATAGGACATCGGGTAGGCTATATCGTTGTTGTAAGTGTCTTACTTATTTTAATATGTACTGACTTTATATGCTTTTCAGTGGTTAATACCAGTTCCTGTAAATGAGAGGCAAGTGTGTTGTTCTTACTGTAAATCATTGTGTGACCCATTTGACACTTCATGGATAAATTTTCAAAGTTATAGTCTGACGACATTACTGATTTAGCAGAGCTTTTTGCTGACGATTCACATATAGATGATAAACGTCACGTTTCTACTGCAGAGATTACATTAGGGGGGAAGCCCGAAGCACAGTTAGACGATTCTGTGAAGAGTAGTGAAGAGCTTATTGAGGAGTCATTTGACGATTTAAACTGTCGTACCTTACGATCTGGGAATCAATATAGTACCTCGCCTGGTTATTCACAGGTTGTTCCTACTCCTTTTCTGGGTGAGAGTGTGTCTGATAACGTACCATTACCCCACCCATTGACTGAGCCTTCGGTTAAGAGTAAGCTTAGTGGCTTGCCTACATCTAATGCTAACATGGCTTCTTCTAACGCTCCTATGTAACCTAACCCCGAGAATGTGTTACACGTGATACCCCGCCTTTTAGAGCTGCTTGCTGACTACAGAAATATTGTAGCCTCGCCAGGGGAAAACTTAGAACAGACAGATTTAACATTCCATCACATATCAATAAAGGAGGGCACAAATCCTATCTATGTACCAGCTTACCGACTACCACATAGCCAGCAGGCTGTAGTTCAGGATATGGTCCAAGATATGTTGGATGAGAATGTTTTTGCGCATTCTAAGTCCCCTTTTAATAGCCCCTTTTTCCTAGTCCCAAAGAAGGATGGTGGTTGGCGCCCAGTTATTGATTTTAGGCGCGTTAATGAATGTACGATACCGGATAGGTATCCTATGCCTGTCTTGATTGATATATTGCAGTCCTTAGGCAAGGATAATGCTGTATTTAGCAACTTAGATTTGCTTAGTGGGTATTGGCAAATACCACTCGATGAGAAATCGCGGGAGGTCACAGCATTTAGTACTCCCCTGGGCCACTTTGAGTTCCTGCGTATGCCTTTTGGTCTCAGGAATGCCCAACTGACATTTCAAAGAATGATCAACGCCCTGCTTGCCGGATTGATAGGTACCACAGTCTGCACTTATTTGGATGATCTAATAGTAGTCAGTAAGGATGTCGATACCCATCTCATTAAACTGCATGAAGTGTTAGAAAAACTTTCCACAGCAGGTCTTGAGATTAAACTTTCGAAATGTGTTTTTAAAATCCAGAATCCATTTCCTTGGTCATGTAGTTGACGGTGACGGCATTCATACAGTTGATGATAAAGTTAAAGCTGTATCTCAATTCCCACGTCCTACATCGGTTGATGAGGTGCGTAGTTTTCTTGGTATATCTGGATATTATCTTTCTTTTATTAAGAATTATGCAACATTAGCATCACCCTTAACAAGGTTGCTGAAAAAAGATGCAATGTTTGTGTGGGATGCTGAACACGAAAGGAGTTTTGCGGCATTGAAGATAGCGCTTACCAATAACCCTGTTCTGGCATTCCCTGTTTACACTCAAGCTTTCACCCTCTATACTGACGCTTCTGGACAAGGAATCGGAGCAGTACTCATGCAAGAGGATTCGCGAGGAAAGTTTCGAGTGATAGCTTTTGCAAGTCGTAAACTTAGTGATGCTGAAACACGTTATTCAGTAACGCATTTAGAGACGTTAACTGTTGTGTGGGCACTGAAAAAGTTTAAGGACATTGTCTTTGGTTATAAGATAACCGTATTGACGGATCATGCGGCAGTGACTGAACTGTTCCATGGCAGAAACTTATCAGGCAGATTGGCACGCTGGTATCTGACAATTCAGGAATTTGACCCCGAGTTTAGGTATTTACCGGGAAGGGCGAATGTTGTCGCCGACGCTTTGTCTAGAAATATAGCACCAGTGATGCCTGTATCAACGTTCACTCTTTCACAACTGGATGATGAGCAACGACGCGACCCGTTATGGTCAACAGTCATTTTTGCTTTAGAATCGGGAGAGGATGTTAAACTCCCAAAATTAATTTTTCCCCTAAATAAGTTTGAATTACGACATAACATACTCCACTGATCGAAAAAAAAGTCTGAGGGTATTGTTTCTCAAATAGTCGTACCTGACACGTTGTGTGAAACGATTATAACGTTGTTCCACGATGTTCCTCAGGCAGGTCATCAAGGTCGTGACAAGTGCTTAGCGGAAATAAGAAAGAAATATTTCTGGAACACAATGAAGAAAAATATAGTGTTACACATTGCTAAGTGTTTGTCGTGTGCTCAGCATAAGGGTACTACAAGGTCACCGGCACCGATTCTACAACATCCTACACCAGACCGTCCGTTTGGCAGTCGCTATAGACTTGTTACAACTTCTGAGGAGTCATCAGGGATCCTCGTACGTCATAGTGTGTGTGGATCATTTTTCTAGATTCGTGGTTTTAGTCCCACTGAAGGATAAAACAGCCGAGTCTGTGGCCTATACATTAGTGATGACTCTCATATGTCCATATACTACGCCTAAGGTTCTTCTCTCAGACAATGGGGCAGAGTTCAAGAATCAACTAGTAGCCCAAATATGTGCCCAATATGGAATACAGCAAAGTCTTGTGACAGCCTATCATCCACAGGCTAATGGCCTTGTTGAGAGAGCCAACCGCAAGATCCTGGAGATACTTCGCCCGATTGTGTGTGATTTGCAATACACATGGGAAGATTGGTTAACGTAGGTTGCAGCGTCTATTAATGGGTCGATTAATAGCTCTACGGACAAATCACCCTACTACATTGTCTATGGTACAGACAAACGTCTGCCTTATGATGTACTTACAGACATGCCAAGTCGTGTTAGAGATAGGCGATGCTGTTATGGTGAGAGAACCTGAAAGGAACTCCAAGCTTTCGGCTAAGTTTTTGGATCCATTCCGCATTTTCGCCAAGGAAGCGGGCAACAAATTTAAAATTTGGAAGCCTAATGCACAGATCGCTGATTTCGTGCACGCAGGTCGTCTTAAGAAGGCCCCTGAACATTTATTACCCACAGATGTTAATGATGTAATAGACATCTCTTGGCAGACTGTACAAGAGCAGAGTGTGCCTAATGATTATTGTATGAAGCTTCGTTCTGCAAGCAGATATTAAAACAAATGAGATTTCGCACACAATGGCTTGGATCACCAATGTGTTGACAATTGTAATTTCTTACAGAATGGCTTGGAGCGTCAATGTGTTGCTCCTACTGTGTTGTGGCACCGTTGTGTTGACAGACATGTCCACATCCGTCCATAAGCCTGGTGCGTTGGTTGCACCCCTTGGACGCGTTCTCATAGTAGAGGACGTGGTGAACATCAAGTATGAGATGCTTGGACTGCTCAAGCTTCCCCGTCAGATGGAGACCGTCGACGCGCAACTACAGTCAACATTGGCAGTCCTAGATGATCTCCGTTCAGCTCCTAATGTATCGACAATGGTTGCACAAACTGTTGAGCTTCAACAACTTCGTCTCAGGACCCTTCACAAGCTTCTCGTCGCTGTCGGAAAAAGAATACCAGCGTCTGAGGCTGATCTTGCAAAGGAAGTGCGTTCTCAAGCACGACGAAAGAGGGGTCTGTTTAATTTTGTGGGTCTTCTCCAACGCACTCTGTTTGGCACGGCAACTGCCGACGATGTAGCTAAGTTAGGGGACCGTATGAACATTGTCGATGAAGCTGTGTTTAAGCAGAATCGTGTTATATCTCAGACATTCCATGCGATTACTGCGTTAGAATCAAAGGTTAATGCGATAATATCGGAGTCTAATCATTTATCGAGGATTGTGTATAAGTAACAGAATTCAGTCCCTACGTTAGAGTGGCTCCTTTATTTTTCTGAATATTATTTCTCTGAATATTTGCATGCTGCGGAAGATTCGGTTCAGGATATAATTACTATTAAAAATTAACTATTCGACAGCATAATAGATGCAGGGTTAGGGCGTGTGGACGCAAAGCTTGTGCCTGTGCAGACTCTTCTTGATGCATTACAGATTGCCAAGTTGATGTCTCACTTAACTCCTATTTTTAATGATCATGAGGTTGAATGCTATTGGAGTCGACTCTCACGCACAATGCTATCCTTATTCACATACCTATGCTAGGGCAACATAAGTTTAATGCATGGCATTTAGAACCCTTCCCTTGGTTTGTTAACGACACACTGTATGCTGTGGATAGGCCTAAAGAACTTTTACTTGTAGATGAAGAATATTCTTTATTGGCGTTAGATGATCCTAGGGTACTATCGCGGTGTAAGTCGTCATATCTACACTTACACTTATGTCCAGCCTATATGTTCGAATTTATTCCTGCTGCAGATGGGATATGTGAATTGGCGGTCATACAAACTAATGTACGCACAGCGCTTACGCAACGCAGCTTTAGGCCAGTTAGTGTTAAATCTGTGTTTCACGCTCATCTCCATAATGTGCAGCACTTTTTCTTTCCTAATGACAATACTGTTATTTTAAAATGCCACGATGGTGATAAACAGTTAGTTGTGAAAGGTCATTACAAGGCTCCGGATTACTGTGAAGTAACTTGTAGTTCATTACGGACCTTGCCTACTCATCAGCATTTTGCTTTGAATTTAAATCTCACTTCTGATATAATTCCCTTGTTTCCTGTTATGAATGTTACTGTTAGTGATCTTCAGATTGGTTCAGAGAAATTAAAGGTTATTTCCTACTTGAAAGAGACCCAATTTGCTGATTTGAGTGATTATCTGCCATTTTATTTTTCACGGGGATTTGCAATACCAAGTCTTATAAGTCCCACAGTTATGTTAATTCTGGCAGTTATGTTTCTGTTTTGTTACTATAAGTCAGTGTCATTCAAGTTGACAATTGTCCACAACACTCTAACCCAGGGGTTCTCAACCAGGGGGGAATTGCCCCCAGGGGGGGAATTCAGGTTTTCAGGGGGGGGGGGGAAACTGATTCGGGAGCAAGAGATATGTTCGATGAGAAATCAATCACAAAATTTTGGCCCTTGATGTGCGATTCCTACCCAAAAGTGGCAGAAAGAGCTATCCGTGCATTGCTTCCGTTTGTGTCGACATATCTTTGTGAGTCAGGCTTTTCAACTCTGTTGCAAATTAAAACGAAGCAACGTAGTAGATTAGAGGTAGAAAATGACCTGCGTTGTGCCCTTTCAAGCACTCCTCCGCGTATCCCAGAATTGGCGAAGAAAAAGCAATCACAGGTTTCTCATTGACTGTAATCTTCATCTGAATAAAATTAATTACAAATTTACAATATCCTGGTATTCTATTGAACTTTTTGTTTATTGCATTATGCTTCAGTTTGGTCTGTTAAGTAATTCATTATAAATAAAAAAAAACTATTTTACTTTTATTCAAGTTTTATAAATCCATCAACATTTTCAATTGGCATTTAATTTGTAAAACTCCACTATAAAAATAATCCATGTAAAATTGTAAATGTATATGTACTAATATGGAAAAAATAA